GTGTAGGCCAGGCTGGACGGGGCTGGGAGCAGCCTGGGCTGGTGGGAGGGGTCCCTGCTCGTGGCAGGGGGGTGGAACGGGATGGTCTGTAAGGTCCCTTCCAACGCAGACCACTCTGTGACTCTGTGATGGTGATTAACTTCAAATTGAATTTTCTAGCCTGACAGTTCATCAAGCTAATGTTCTATGAAATATTACGTTGAAATATAAATACATACATCTGTACATAATATTACATGAAATAAAATTAATCGTGTTTCACATGACATTACTCAGTGAGATTCACTCACTCAGTGAGGCCGACAGCTTGTGAGACAGAATAGCCTCTGTCTTACTCCCTGATAGTTTCATGGAATGTCGTACCATCAAGAAAAACAGAATTGTATTTTTTCTGGCACGTAATACAAAACAAAGGGGATCTGGCACATAGGACGTGTTTCGTCTGAGGCTCACCCTTTTCAAACTGGAAAAGATGCCACACAGCTTTCATCAACACATGTTGAGGGTCCGTGGAAAAGATCAAAAACCTTACTTCAAAACCAGACACGGCTCTCCTTAGCCAGGCTGGCGCTACGGGACTTGTTTTCAGTCAACTATTTAATCCCCCGAGTACAGAATGAAAGCGGTGATCCCAGCAGGAAACCAGAACGCTGTCAGCAGGTGGCACCAGCAGGCGGGGACTGGGGACTGGGGAATGGGGACTGGGGACTGGGGCGGCGGGGCGGGCAGCGCTTGGTGCCCGGCTGCTTTAGTTGGGAGCGTGCTTGGTTCACTGAGTTGGAACGTGAAAAGCAAACGGAACTCGGTTTGTAGGCTGCAGTTTAAGCATAGGCAGAATAGTCTGACACTACGCTGTACAGGCAAATGTCCGGAGAGCATCGCTAGCTGAGTCAGCTCCTCCATCTGAAATACAGACGAGTGGCTGCCTTTGGCTGCAGAATTCTCTCTCTTGCTGTCTGAGCGATACGTGTAACAGTCACTTGATTTCTGGATCCAGAAAAAATATCTTTTGTACTGTTTGGTTTTTATTTTCTGGTAGATTGTGATGTTGCTTTGCTGAAGTTTGCAAGAACCTCTTCTCAGTCCTTTCCAGTGCAAACACCGGCAGTGTGCATGTTCCTTGGCAGTGGTGTGCCCGGGATCCTGCAGCCTCCCACGTGGCTGCACTGTGGGGCTGGTGCCAGCAGTGTAGACTTTTTTTTTAAAATGTCAGAAAATAGAAGACAGAAAAATAGTGACTCCAGGGAGGCTCAAAGGAAAATAAAATACGTAATTCTATAAGTGATATCATTTTTGTAGATACTGTTGTGTGATTGAAATACCCAGTGATGAGGCTAACAACAAATTTTCCAGACAGATTATACTAGCAAAATACAGCATTTATGTAAATGTTTTGTGTGCTTCTGAAGTTGAGATTTGCTAGCCTCTTAAATCTTTATAAGCAGGTCTCTTCAATGACACTAGCGTAGATTTTCAGACTAACCTACTGCTGAGAAAAGGCAGTGTTGCTAATACAGCAGCTACAGTGATGACACAGGCTGGTCGGTTCCTTCCTTACGTGTGAAAACCAAAACAGTCACAGCAAAACTCTGCATGAACAGTTCATCTCACCTGGACCTCGCCTAGGGCCTCCTCAAGAGCTGAGGGAATTTGCCTGTTTGCTGAAGGAAGTGCAGGAACATAAGTATATATATGGAAAAATACTGATTTTTTTTCAGAAGTGCATTTTATTTGTGCATGAATTGTAGTCATGTTGGGCACTTGGAATTCAGAACAAAGAGCTTAAGGATTTTTTGCATTATCTTCTAATTTTTTTACCAATAATAGCTTCAGATTCCTGGGAGAATCTAATGGCTCTTTGTGTCTGTCAGTTCATCATCTTTGTTATTTTTATTAAAGTTATTATTGTTATTGTTGTGGTTATCCATGGAGCATCTCTTGTTTTGGGTTACAGGAAGCACTGTCTTAGGGAGGGAGTGTGGTCACGTGTAATACTGACTCCAAAAAAACAACATTAGACGGGATGTATTTGCACAAGCAGAACAGAAACTTTATTATGTAGGTTCTTTTGAAAGGAAACTATACAGCTACTGACAGGAAACAAGCTTGTCATCTCTGACACGTAGAGCCAAACAATCATGTGAAAAGGGAGAGCAAATTTAAGGAAAGACATCAAGCTGTTGCACATTCTTCGATTACATTCTTGTGATTTGGCAAAAGTAAAAGGCTATTTCTCTTAGCATTAGCCAGTGTGTAGGCTGCAGTGGGTTTATATGGTGTCATGCACAAGAGGGGACTCAGTAGTTCTTTGTTGGAATCTCCTTTTGCGAGCAGAAGCAGATTTTCCATCATCTTACACGGCCGCGCGAACTCTTCCACTGCTCACAAATGAAGCTGTAGGAGGGGAAAAAAAAAAATCAACTAGAGGAAAAAAATGCATTGCTAACACACTGAAGAGCTGCTGTGCGGTGCGTTTGTAGGGTTGTTTCCTCACAATATCTTTTTCACATGTCAAAGGGGGAAGTGCCTTTACATCTTATCTTCTCTCCCTAGTGGTCCTCATCCAGTAAATCTTAAGAGTGCACATCACATGTCAGATTTGGATGTAGCTTGTATGTTATGTGAATCAGCAGAGGAACTTGGGAATCTTTGAGAAATTTCCATATTTTAGAATCCCATGAGGAGTTCATGCAATCATTTTGGCAAGCTACTGGTTTCAAAAGTGCACATAAAATAAGATAAAGTATTATATTTTGATCTCTAAATGATAAAGAATGTGGTCATTGTGGAGAGGATGTAAATTGTGTTAGCAAGAAGAAATCCTAAGTGAAAAAGATAGGTTTATTTAATCCTATTTTGTCAAATCATTTCAGCCCCTCTTTAAATCAAAATTTTTCTTACCATCCTTAGGGTTCACTGTCAGCCTGTAGAAAAGAAGGAAAATTTGATTAATGACCGTCACTGACCATGTCCACTGAAACCGTTGATCCGTTTAGGAACCACTGCGTGTGAATAGCCGTGATTCCACACTGCTGCTTTCCATGGGTTGTTTCTCGGGGGTGTTGTTACTGGTGTTATTGTGAAGGTGCTTTCTGCTTCGAAGGCTGCTTGTATGTACTCGGTAGGAAATGCGAACAGCAGTCAGACCAGTTCTTGGTCCTGATATGTCTCTATATATTCCTCTTATTCTCAAAATGCATAGTCTAGAAACAACCTAATTCCTCCTCAGAAATCAAAAGTAGGTAGATCAGATATGAGAAATGGGCACTAAAATGTAGATTTTACTAAAGCGAGCTGTGGTATGTACCAAGTTCTTTCCCAGTTGAGAGTACTGGTGTGTGGTGATGAGTATTTTCACCTCTGTGCACAAGTGTAGAAAACCAAGAGCTAAAGAAATACTGAGAACAGGTTTTTATAGGTTATTTCAGGCTGAAGGCTACTATTCCAGTGCAACAAGAGGATTCTATAAGACATACATATGGTGTCTGGTGCCTTCTGTAATTCAGTGTAGTCAAAATGGTTGCATTTATATTTTCAATTCATCAGCACAATTGATCTGGAGATTTAGCTGGAGCCACAGCAATGCCTGGGACTTTGCCGGGCGTCTGTTTTGCCAGTACTCAAAAGGCTGCAAATGCAGTGAATGTAATTTAGTAATCTTGAGTCAATTTAGCAACCACAAATTGCTGCTTTACAATGCGTCATGTTATTAGCCTTATCAAATCATCACAGGATTTGCATATAGTAACGTACTGAGAGTCCTGGCCCTCCAGCAACTGGCGGTACGTGGCGATTTCGTGCTCCAGGCGACTTTTGATGTCCATCAGCATTCTGTACTCCTGGTTCTGACGCTCCATGTCGCTTCGAAGTTCACTCAGTTGCTCCTCAACGCTGGTGATGAGGGCCTGAATCTGTGCCAGCTGTGCACAGTATCGTGCTTCTGTGTCTCGCAAGTTGGCTTCCAGTCCAGCTTTCTGAAGTGGAATAAGTGGAATAATGTTGGAATGCGTTAGCATGCAGGTTTGTCCCACAGAGGGGGAGTGCAAGGAGAGGCAAGACAGAGAGGGAGGAAGGGGAGAGTCTACTAGTAGTGACTTGTGATGGGCTTGGGACAGCTCCATACCGTGCTCAGCTGCGACTGGAGCTCAATCTCCAGGCTCTGGACTGAGCGTCTCAGCTCCGTGATCTCGGATTTGCCAGTCTGTATCTGTTGTGTATGGGTGGCTACTTCGCGGGTCAGCTG